GAATCAAGCCAATCTATCTATCTGCTGTTTCAACTCCTCGGGCATCTTTTATACCCAAACCACCATCCTATTTTTTTCAGCACACTAGATCCCAGCCAACCAATGAGACACTTCTCTCTGCCTCATTTGTTCCCCAAAGAAACTCCCTGCAATATCTATTAACCCTATCCGTGATAGAACAAGGCAAGATAAATGCAGAAGCCCAAAACACATGTATATATGAGACAATACAACATTAACCAATTGCAGTCTAGCACCATATGATAGTTTTTTTTTTTAATCAAAAACCCTAATGGGCTAGTTTTTATTAATATCAAAAACTTGACAAAGGCAGTGCTTAAGACTTACCTTGTTCAAAAAAGAAACCGTTTGTAAAAAGACAAGACAGTCATTTTACAATGAAATAGGTAATTAATGGTTTTTCAGAGTACTGATGGTCCTTTGCTTGCATCGCCATCAGAAACAAAGATTCCAGTGACCCAAACAGAGATTTACACACCTTCTACCCTGTCAAACGTGATTCTCTCCTTTTGTATCACGTATCTTGGACTGCCCTTAGTGGGCAATTTTTATGAGTTCCGAAAACGGTGAGTGATTTACAGGTTAGGAGAGATGAAGGACCTCTGAAGTTGTCTTTGAAGGATGAATCGATGGCAAAGTAAAGAATCAAACCAATTTGTATCAAATAACCAGATAATCACCTATATTACAAAACCAAAAGGGCCAGTCAACCAGCATAATCGGTTAACCAAGTACTCTATAACCAATAGAAACAGTGACTTCACCAACAAACCGATTAACCCAGTAACCAGTGTACCAGCTAACTGGTGAATTAGCAGACCTCCTAGCCAGGAAACTGGCAGATTATTCCGATGCATGGTAACCCTCCGGTGGTAGATCTAGGTGGATATACGTCGGGTTGCACCAGATTTGGAGATGGGGTTAGTCCGCGTCAGTGGACGCTGTCCGGTGCTACTACGTGGACCTCCATCGCCGCTGCGTTCTTTCTCCAATGCATGGTGACCATTCGGAAGTAGATCTAGGTGGTAGTATGTTGGGGTGCATTAGATCCGGAGATTCATGTCGGTCAGAGCTATGAAGTCAGATCTTTGGATCTCCGGCAGCAGTCAGCATTTTGTTGATGAAGCAACTGTTATTTTGGAACAAATTGGAAGAGTTGCGGCTAGAGCATCAATGGCTTTTTAGTCAAGCAGATATATTTAGTTTGAGTGCTACATCAATAAAACAATTAAAAGTTTAAAAAAGTTAAGGAAAGAAAAGGGTTTAGCTCCCCCAACCACCATTAATGGTGCTTGGGGGAGGAAGATATAATTTTGGGGGCTGTTGTTGAGAGAAGAAGGGGGAGAGCGACGGATTTGTTACTTCTTTTTTCATATCATAGTTTCCTAATACTCCAACATTTAGTTCTACTGTTAATCTTATCTATCAACTTTTGGCAGTCCATCTGAGTTCATTTCCTAGGAGATAAAGGCACTCCAAGGCATTTCATAGGAAAAACACATTCCTGGAATCCAGCCAATCTATCTATCTGCTGTTACAACTCTTCAGGCACAACACCATAACAAATGTTAGATATTTTTGCATTGGCTCTGAACCATGATGTGTCTGCAAATTCCTTAAATTTTTCCATGATACTACTAAAAAAAACATCTGCAAAACACCATAAGGTCATCCGTAAAACATATGTAGGTCAGCTTCAAGTTTTTACACTTGGGATGAAACAGAACCTTGGGATGATTTGCTACCATATTTAGCTGCTTTACTCCATTATTAGCACAAATATCACACGAGAAACATGATCTCCTTCTCTAAGCCCCCAACAACCCTTAAAATGTCCCGCATTAATTCCATTGAAATAGAGAGTATAAAACGTAGTACTAATACAAGCCATTATAAATGCTGAAAATTTATCAGAAAATCCATACCCTAGCATAAATTTTTGACAAACTCACATTCTACACTATCATATGCTTTACGTAAATCAATCTTCATACAATATCCACCACTAACATTCTATCTCCCATACAATCTAATCAGATCATAAGTAATGAATATGTTATGAAATATCGATCTATCTTTTACAAACGCACTTTGATTCCCATCCACTATCACAGGCAATACATGGCTTAGTCTATTACAAAGAAGTTTAGAAATCACTTTATAGACCACATTGCTAACGAGTCGAAAATAAACCCTAGGCCTATTGGGCCTAAGATTAGGTTACTTGGAGATTAAGCCACCGACTAAACCTATTCCGCTAGGGTTTTAGGAAACATGTAACACCACCTCTATATAAAGAGGTGGTACCTCTCCCATAATACATATCTTTTACCTATCTTCTACTTATCTTCTACACCTTCTACACACGATATACATCCCTCTCTCTCTATTCTCTTTATTCCCTTATCGACTTAAGCATCAGAGAGTCTACCCTCGGAAGACACCCGAGGCTCTGTCTTGTAGGTTGTAGGCCGTTTGCCGCCGCCTATATCATCATCGCCGCCCATCCTAAGGCATCGTGTAGATCCATGCTTCGTCAAGTGGCACTCCCAGTGGGACCGATTTGTTTGTTCTTCACAACCAAATAAATTTCTTAGCAAAGCACATAATCTTTTGTTTCTTTCGCAGCTGCGGCGTTAATTCGTTGCTCCGATTTTGCAACAAGAAGATCACGCAAAAAATTATTTTTTTTGGCCAAGAAGACGTCAGCCGACAAGTAACACAAAGAAGCTTTCGATTGCACAAATAATCGAGGAGCTGCACTTGCTCCACATCTGATCGAGAAGAACAATTAGTAAGGAGCAATCTTGAAGATTGGAGTTTCGAGAGATACATCTCCTCGAAGGGGCAAAAATCCCTCAAGCACCATATTAATACATAAAGTGTTCGAGCAGATACATCTCCTCGAAGGGGCAAGCATCTCTCGAGCACCTTACTACTACTCGAAGTATTTGAGAAGACGTATCTCGACGTCTATCTACTTAGCTACTACCTTCTCAGAATCGAGGTAACATTTTCTCGAGTAATCAATTTATCTCGAGACAGAGGTACTTCTCAAATTTTTTTTAATATATTTCTCGAATCTAAATCAATCTATTGCTGATATCATTATTATATTACTTCCATGTCACGATATCTTTTTGAGCACGATTAAAGGAGTTCTTCAAATTACCAACCCTCTCGCAGTAAAGCCCTATCACCCTTCAACGAGGACAATGTACTCTGAGGCACAAACTGGGACATACCCTTGGTACAAGGAATTTGAGGGATCATATGTCATTATTATCTTGTATTGCATCTCAATGATATACACACTCGTGGTACACCGCGCAAACAAGGATTCTTGCGGTCCACCGTGCAAACAAGGATTCTCGAGGTCCACCGCGCAAAAAAGGATACTCACGGTCCACCGCACAAACAAAGAACTCTCTAACAGTAAGACCTCCTCGAGGCATTTTATTCTCTTTATCTTTCTATAGGTGACACCCGAGAACTGGGGCAACACCACGAGAAGACATCAACACTCGTAGCAACCCATATCCTTCTCATCAAGTCTCGAGAATATGGCTTGCTAGGGGCACTTGACGAGTCCAAAATAAACTCTAGACCTATTGGGCCTAGGATAAGGTTACCTGGACATTAATCCACCGCCTAAACCTATTCCGCTAGGGTTTCCAGACATAGGTAACACCACCTCTATATAAATAGGTGGTGCCTCTCCCATAATACATATCTTCTACCTATCTTCTACTTATCTTCTACACCTTCTACACACGATATGCATCCCTCTCTCTATTCTCTTTATTTCCTTATCGACTTAAACATCGAAGGGTCTACCCTCAGGAGACACTCGAGGCTCTGTCTTGCAGGTTTTAGGCCATCCGCCACCGCCTATATCATCATCGCCACCCGTCCTAAGACACCGTACAGATCCATGCTTCGTCAATTGCAGCACGATATTGGCCTATATTGACTAGCATCTTTAGGGTTCTGAGTTTTAGGAATTAAAGCAGTAACAGTAGAATTAAGTTGGGATAAGAGCTGACCTGTTGTAGAAAAACTGCATCACTGCTGCATTGACATCTTTTTTCACTGACTCCCAATTGGTTTTGAAAAAATCACTCCCAAACCCATCCGGCCCTGGGCTCTTGTTACTGTGTATATCCCATACTGCATTCTTGATTTCCTCCTGAGTGATTGGCATTAAGAGCTTGAGTTGATCTTCCACACTTAACTTGTAACCCTGTTGGAAAACCTCTGATTGTGCATGTTGTCTGTTGCTGGATTGTCCAAGTTGCTACTAGAAGAACCCAATAAAGTGTTCTTCAATTTCTTCCCACTGCATGACTTCCTTTCCATCTGCATCAATCACACTCCATATCCTATTTCTCATAATCCTCTGGTTTATTTTAGAGTAGAAGAAAGTAGTGTTATCATCCCCTTCTCAATGCCAATCCTCTTTTGCCTTTTGCCTAAGAAAGTATTCATGCGCTTTACTCAGGGTAACCAGATTTTGATAAGCAGCTCTTTCCTCTATTTGGATATCTCTATTTCTAGGTTAGATCATCAATTTTTGCTGTAACGGCTGCAATGTCTGCCTTACCTTCTGGACTTGGATTTGAATGTCTGCAAGTTTACCTCTATTGAGTGCTTTTAATGGCTGCTTTGGTCTCTTCAATTTACTTGCTAGGAAAAACATACTACTGCCTTCAACAGGTTTCTTCCAGCTCTCTTGAACAGTCATTCGATGAGTTGGGTCATACTTCCACATGTTCCTATATTTGAAGGGTCTAGGCTTATGTGGTACATCCCCTTTTTCTTTAATCATAATCGGGGAATGATCAGACACTTTTTCTGTCAAAACCATAGCAAGGGAATCTAGGTGCTGCTCAATCCATTCTCCATTAATAAGAACCCGGTCCAGCTTGGCCAAGAATCTACTTTCCCCTATTTTTCTGTTACACCAAGTAAACATTGGGCTAAACTTGCCTCATAACCTGAAGCTGGCAATTCTCTAAAATCATTTTAAAGTATTCAATATCAGTCATTTGGACTGCTCTACCTTTCAGCTTTTCCTTTTCATGCAACAAAGTATTAAAATCCCCAATAATAATCCAGGGTTCTTGAATAAGTTGATGAAATTCCATCATGCTATCCCATTATTGATTCTGTTCAGAGCTACTATTGGAAGCATAAATTCCAGTGCACATGAACTTATAGTTCAAATCCAGTGATTTCACACTACAATGCACCATTTGTTCACTATAATTGAGCATTTCCACTTCCACATTCTGATCCCATACCATGCTGATTCTCCCCTTACCTTTTTTTTATCATAACTATGAAAAACCTTCCAGGTTGGCTAGTAGTTTCTATTTAGTTCTTCCTCCTTATCCTTCTTTATTTTGGTTTCTATGCGAAGGCCATCTTATTTGTAGACAGGAGTCAAGTAACCTCCTTTTGCTTTACAGGGGCATTTAAACCCCTAATGTTCCAACCTAATAGGTGACTCATAGATCCCTGGGTCAAGGTCTATTTTCTTACCATCAATCTCCTGCTGCTCACGACTCTCACCTATTTCAACATGGGATTTTCTTCGTGCCGTAATCATATTAAACGATAACTCTTGTTTTCTTTCAATTTCACTGCTTATCTGAATCTTCCTTGTAACTGTTTGAGGTAGAGGTTTAGTCTGATTTTCTAATTGTTGCTTGACCAATTTCCCCTTATCATTTGGCTTCCTGATCACTTCTCTCAATTCCTCAATTACTTTTCCTACATTTGCATTCCTGATCATTGGCTCCTGTCCATTATCCTTCCTAACTGGCAAGTTTTGGAGAGTACGTCCACATTGATCTATGTTATGTCTATACCCCTTGCAACAATCACAACTAATAGGCTTCCATTCATAAGTACTTCTCTGTTCAACCACTTTGCTATTCTCATCTTCAAAGTATATTATTTTTGGTACCTATTTCTGGATTTCCATTTCAACTAGGAGCCTAGCATAGTTCACTCTCTCCTTATTAGCAATAGGTTCATTCATCATTATTGGTGCCCCTAAAGCACTTGCATTCCTACTCAGTGAGGCAACACTCCAACATTTCAATTCTAACCCCTTAAAATGAATCCATACTAGTACTTTCAGCACATCCTTATAGTTAATGCCTTTGTCAACAGACCAAGGTTTGACAATTATAGGCTTACTACCGAGGTGATATAGGTTTTTGCTTAAGACTTGATCCCTAGCATGCATAGTTGTAAAACTTATAACAAAGAGTCCGGGATAATAACAAAATTACCTTATCACCATGCCCAAATGGTTCCAAATATTCCTGAAGTGTTTATTCATCACTGCATAGGGCCGATTGGAGCCTAGAACGAAACTCACAACTGAAGATACCCAGTATTGAGCTTCAGCCTCCACATCCTTCATCTGGATTTGCCATAATTTCTGGCCATCAACCTCCTGCAGTAGGATGAACTCCAGCTTTGATCCCCCATGCGTAATCTTTATGGTATCAAACTTCTTCCAGACATTTACATCAGTATGGTTCTCCACTTTCTCTGCCCATGACAATTGCCATTGAGTATTACCTCCTCAGATCTTTGGCTCACTGCGGATTCCTTTTGATTGCTCTGTTGACCATAAATTTGGCCCTTACTTTTCAGATCTACTCTCAGAGATGCCTCTCTTCCCACTTTCTCAGTTGTCAATTTCATTCCTTCACCAATTGTAGTTGAATTCTTTCTCTGTGCTTCTAGGTCGACTTTATCCTGTATCTTCTTCATAGTTTTTGATGGAAAATACACATTATAGTTGCTAGTGTGCACTGAGAAACAAGTGAAGAAGAAGCAGAAAATCACACGCAGTAGAACGTGCGATCGCCCCTAGTTAGCGTGTGTTAGCGCACATGCATCACTATGTATTTTCTTCATAATCGCATGTAGTAGAACAAGCAATAGCCCCTAGTTTGCGTGTGTATAATTTATTTAAAGTAATTATATATATTAATTATGAAAAATTAGATTTTCATTTAAAGTAAAGAGGAATGCTTATTTAAAATGAATCTAATTTGACGCAACATAATTGAGTATCTTGATAAGACCATTGTCACGACGGCCATCACAATGGTATTCTCTAGAATCACAAGTAAAAGTAGTAAAGTTCTTAGAACTTTCTTTTTTTTAAATATATATATATATATATATCCTTGATTTCTTTTCACATAATAATATACCATAAAACTATAAAACAAGCGTCACTAGATTAGGGAATGAGAGCCTAGCTCAATTGTTTGGAGTATTTGGTATACACCGCATCACATGGAGACAATTTCCAGGGAGCCGATTTGGAAAATTTACCTACAATAGAAGGATCCACAAGGTGGGTTAGTAAAAGAAAAAAAAACACTGGGTTATACTTGAGATGGTTGAAGTTATGTTAACCATTAGCATTGGTGAGTGAGGAAAGATGCATTAATTAATAAACATCAAATATACCTTTATGTCAAAAACATTATCGAGATTAATCAAACCAAACATTTCGTTTAATTCGCGAACTATGACAATATATACAAATCTAGAGACTAGCATACTCCAAATTGATGGTAAAATTATGTACCTTAGTATTTATCTCTGATAAACTACAAAGTTAGGTAGCATGTTACACTTTTATTTGAGAAAACTTAAACTTCAGTGTCATGATAGAATGATTCAATTAATGTCAAAGTTATCCGATCATAATTTTCATTCACGTAGAGATTATAATACGCCCTGTCCTAGACAAAAAAAAGTCCACCTTGAGTTTTGAAATTTCTACTAAAATTAATATAAAACTTGAAACCACTGTGGAGTAATTTTTTGGAACAGAAGTGGTATATCTCAATGTATCATTTTAGTTAGCAACAATATATAATTTTCTAAATTTGGATATCTTGGTGATAATGGTTTATTTGTTACATAAAAGCATCACAATTAACTCTGAAATTAGTAGAAATTAGGGGTATTTCCTAGTATTAGTGCATTTCACTTAACTAGTCTTTGTGTTTTTATTAGGTTAGGGCTTGATTGAACAATTGCCAAAAAATTAAGGCCAAAGGAACAAATTATGGGCTGCTGATACAATTTTTGCTGAGCTGGTCGAAAAAGTACCCCCCAAGACACAAAGCATCTTGCCATTAATGAGTATGTCTCTCATTTGAATTCCAAGGGGCATGCTTATCTCTCAGCTGTAATTCCAGCCACCCAAGCTGATCAATGAGGTTGCTTCTGCCACCACTGGAAGAAGAGAAGAAGACCAGTCAATTTTGGATTCCAGACACAAGGCCTAGGAAGGATTAAACAACTCACAAGCATGGGAGGCTCTCTTGATAAAAGAACCGGCTGCAAGGCTCTATAAAAGGGGAACTTCACTCTCAGAAGAAAACACATCTCTGGTTACCCTTTCAGTTGCCAAAAACACACAGAAAAACTCCCGAAAGAAGGCAAGAAGGAAGAAGGAGCAACACCCACTCAGTAAGGAAGCCAAGTGAAGAACAGCCATCCCAGTTTCTGCTTCAGTTCCATGAGTGAACCCCTTCACTCTCAGGAGTGGCTCAGAACTGCACAAGCTTTTTTCTCGTCTCTTGACTGTTAGCTTGAACTTTGTTTTATTATGCGTACTTCTATGATGTCTATTGATATAGTAGATGTAGCATTAATCTGCATGAGTAGCTAAGCAGCTTCCAGGGGTTATTATCCTCAACCTATGTTGTAGTTGTGTAATGCACTGGTTCTGTTCCTTGTTTTGAAGTTGAAAGTTTTTCTACATTCATTACTTGATCACTAAATTGAATGCATGCTAGAACTAAGGGAGATCTGGAAAGATAAACTTGGTTTGGATTGTTTCAACTTTAACTTATGACATAGAGGTAATAGTCTATGGTTTTAACTAAGATAGGAATATACTTAGTTAACATAAGCATTCATGAGGCCTGAGAACTTAATGACTTTGTAACTAGAATCAATTATTAGAAAATAGATTGTTAAGATTGCAAAGATGACTCTAGGAAAAATGGGAACTGACTTAGAGTTATAAGTGAGCTGAATGAACAAGAACTCAACCATTACAGTGCTAATAAACAACTACAGCAGTAGGAAGAGGAGATGAACACCCCTCGCTTTATTCCCCAGAGTAACTGTTTCCATTCCCCTGAGTGACACCTTGTCTGACTGGTAGTCTTTTGAACAACAAATTTGGTAATTAGCTGTCTTCGTGGGATCGACCTAGCTTCCATTATCTACAAAATTCATAATCCAAGCTAGTAATATTTTTGGTGAACTCGGTAAACACTAGAAAGTGGCGCCGTTGCCGAGGATGGCGTAAAACCTCCAAAAATTTGTTGTTTTTATTTATTTGTAAATATATAAAATTCTTCTCTGGTTACACCACTAAGCTTCCAGTTTCTTTTCTTTGGTGTATGAGTAGAAGGCACCAACGAAGTGAACCTATTTTTGACCCAGAATTGAAGCTACCATACGCAGAACCAGAGCAGCAAGAAGAAGGCAGAATCGGTTGCAACAGAACAACCAAGAAAGTTCATCAGAAATGGCTAACCAAGGTGGTAACCCAGAGAACAATAGGAACCCTGGTGGGGATCAACAAAATCGACCAGAGAGACTGCTTAGAGATTTCTTTATCCCACAACAAGAAGAAGTCCAATCCCCTTTGGTGTTCCCTGATGTAGAGGCAACCAATTTTGAGCTAAAACCACAGATGATCCAATGGACTCAATCAGCCTACCCATTCCATGGGTTACCTCATGAAGATCCTAATGATCACATCCGAAGTTTCCTGCGTTTATGCAGTACTTTTAAGATTCAAGGCTTATCTAATGATGACATTAAACTGAGGTTATTCCCTTTTACTTTGTAGGATCACGCCCAAGCATGGTTCAACACATTACCCAACAACTCTATCTCCACTGGGAAGAGTTAAGACAGTGTTTCATGACAAAATTCTTTCCACCCGCAAAAGCTGTACAACTTAGAATGGCAATAATGAACTTCAAGCAGCATGGAACAGAAACACTCTATGAAGCATGGGAAACACTGAAGGACATGGTCAGGAAATGCCCTCAGCATGGTTTGGAAGAGCATCTCCAATTGAGCATCTTCTACAATGGGCTGCTACCAACTACAAGAGACTCCCTTGATGCTGCAGCTGGTGGTGTGTTTATGATGAAGCCAGTTGATGCAGCAAGGCAGTTGCTTGACAATATGACCACCAACCATTCAAGGTGGCAATCGAATCCATGGGCAAGTACAAAATAGCCAGGAGTGATGGAACTTGACCCCAATACACACCTGCAAGCACAAATGGCTGTTATGATGAATGAAATGACAAAACTCAGGAGTGAGCTGTACAAATCCAAGGCTGAAGTGTGTGTGTTATGTGATGGATCTCACAATTTGGATGACTGTCCCTCCAAAATGGAAGCTGTCCAGTTTGTCAGGCAGGGCAATGCTGGAGGATTCAACAAGTCCAACAATTGGAGAAATCAACAACAGCCTAACTGGAACTATGCACCACAACAAGGGAGCTATCAGAGGCCTACTTAACCCCAGGATTTCACAGACAAGATGGCCAGCCTCCCAACTATCAGAATTAGCAACGTTCTAACCAGCAACACATACCAAGGGAAGATGAATGGATTTCTCTACAAAATGCAATCAAGAATTTCGCGGTGTCGTGCAAAAGTTTGGAAAATCAGTTGGCCCAGATTGCAAAACAAAATGCTGAAAGACCATCTGGAAGCCTGCCCAGTGATACAGTGATAAACCCCAAGGGGAATGACCAAGAGCAAGCAAAGGCTGTCACTCTCAGAAGTGGAAAGCAACTCAATTAGCCAAGTGAAAAAGTCACTCCCGTGAGTGACCCTGCAGGTAAGAAGGAAACATTTTCTGAGAAAATGTCTGATAGTAATGATGTGGTTGAACAGGAGCAAACAGCTGAAAAACCTGGAATGGAGGAACTTTAATTTCCAGCATCAAATAAGGAACCACAACAGCCAGCTCCAATCCCACCATATCCGGTGAGACAAAAGAAGGCCAAAATGGATGAAGGGCTCAACAGGTTTATTCAAAACTTAGAAAGTATACATCTTAATGTACCACTTGTTGATGCACTAAAACAAATGCCTAAATACTTCAAGTAGTTGAAAGATTGGTGGCCAATAAACCACAAGTGCATGACTCTACTTTTGTCACTCTAAATGAAGAATGTAGTGCAGCTATTCTGAGAAAATTGCCATCTAAGCTAAAAGATCCGGGTAGTTTCACTCTGCCTTGTACGGTAGGAATCAGAGGAGTTTCAAAAGCATTACTAGATCTTGGTGCAAGCATAAATCTCATACCATTGTATGTATTTAAATCACTTGATCTGGACAAATTTCTGGTACCTACTAACATGACCTTGTAGTTGGCAGATAGGTCACTGACCTACCCAAAGGGAATCTTACATGACATTCTTGTAAAGGTTGGTAATTTCGTTTACCCAGCAGACTTTGTGGTTTTGGACATGGAAGAGGACAGGGATGTGCCCATAATCTTAGGGAGACCTTTTCTGGCAACAAGTGATGCAATCATTAAGGTGAAAAAGGGAGAAATCAAATTGCACTTTGATGGAGAAAAGGTGACTTTCAACATCTTCAAAAACATGAGATATCCTGCTGCAGTCCATAACTGCTACATGGTAAGAAGTGTAGAGGTAGAAGAAGCAGTGACAGAAGAAATACTGGAAGATGATCTCC